TATAGAAAGTTCCTTCAAGGGTTCTTCGAGCTGGACCACCAAGATATTTCCTTAAGTAATAAAGTTTGTCTGCTGTGGAGATTGCCTTTGCATCAATAAGTGACATGAAGGAGGTTTTCCACTCAATAAAATGGATAGGGTCACCGTTAAAAACAGATGGTTCTGGTACTGGAAGTCTATTTAGAGCCATACTGTCTTGAAAGACTTGGGCGAGAGATAACACATTCATGTCAGGTGAAGATGCTAAAACATTGTTTGTTCGATTGCTGGTCACAGCTGGGTTCTGATTTCTCTCTGAACTACTAGAGTAAGAAACACTGCCTTCCTGCGATGCTCTCTGTTCGTAAACATGCAGTCTGGCCCGGGCAGCCTTTAAATCCTTTTCTGCTTGAATGCGTTCAAGTCTGCGTTTTTCTACTTCTATTTGCCTTTGTTGCTGCTCTATTTTTTCCATTTGCTTCTCTTCTTCCAGCAACCCTTGAAACTCTGCTTCCTTTGCGGCAAGCTCTGCTGCAGCATCCACTCGCTTAACTGTAAGGGATGTGCTCTCATGACTGTGGACTGAGTTAGTAATTCGAGAGACAGTGGATCCATAGATGGAACGTGCATAGCTACTCTTAAGTAGTTCTTTAAGACGGGATTTTACTTGCTGTTCATCATAATCTCCATCAATGCCTGACATTCTCTCATAGGTAACCTTTAAAATATCTGCCTTAATGGCCTCACAACTATCAACACGGCGCCTTAAAGCCGGTGACGGTGTGATGTGATTTCGCACTTCAAGGTAGGCTTTCAACACAGCCTCTTTGTCCTTCTCTAAAGAGTCCATCAGAGAAGCCAGTTCACTTTCATTGATATCCAACTTAAGCTGCTCTCTTGACTCACGGTCTCGAGTCTTCCATTTTTCATATGTTGAGGTGAACTTTCTTTCCCTTTTTCTTACCTCTTCTTGTTGCATTTCGAGCATTTTAGAAGTTGGATTTTTTGGACGGGTTGAGCGTCGGAGGCCTGCTGTTAGTTCACCTTGTAAGCTGCTCAATTCCCTTTCTTTGCCTTGGATTTCTTTTTCTAAAACTTCTCTCTCTGCACACTCTGGTGTATTTATAAGAGATGCTTTAAGGGCTTCGATTCTAATTTGGAGGCTATCAATCTGATTCTCTAGCTCTGATTGTGGGGCGGGATTCTCAATTTTCTTCATATTTAGTTACAGTTTAATAAACCTTATTTAATGGATTTTCCGTATTTACCGTAGTTTATAGACTGCACTAATTAAGAAGAAATTCCTTACTTTAGCACCACATCAAAGAAAGAGCAGGTAGCCTTCGTACAATGCAAAGAAAAATAAAACTCAAACATAAGCTTCAAATGCAGTTTCCATATAAAACATCCACCCTTTTTTTTTTTTTTTTGTGTCTATTCCGTAAATGTCCTTTGTAATTGACACCCTTTTACCTTCTTTAACTGTTAAAGATAAGTTGACGTTCTTCTTGAAGATGGATAGTTACTTCTTAGTTAAAATGAAATGTTCCATACCTTGTCTGACCTTCACACCAAACCAATAAACTGCCTGCATGATGACCATGAAGTCTATGTCCATCTGATCCGTAAAATGGTGCCAAGTTGCTCTAAGAAGTATCTGTTGTCATCACATGCTGAGTAGCAACGTAGCTCCGTGTGGTCTTCATGGCTCGATCATGCAGCGTGGCAGCAGGAATGATGCAGGAGAAAGCTCTTACTGTAGCAGTCTAGCCAGACTTTTATTCAGACGACGCACTCAATGATGATAACTGATGGACTATGGTGGGGTATTCCAACCCATTTATTAATCAGAAATGGAAATACACCATAGACACACCGTAAGAGCTGTAGATAAACAAAAATAAATTACAAAATTACTCCACTCAACATAGGATGAATACCATGAATTCCATTAGCTACCATTAGCTATCATTAGCTACCATTAGCTTCTTCAACTTCTTTTTTATATATAAACTCTAAATAAACGTAGAGTTATTATACATATAAAACTACACAACAAAGAAAATTATACCTGTTCGCCTTCCAGCTAGATGCCATATAAAAATGTGAATGGAAACCGTCCTTTAACAAGCAGCAAAACCATCTGGTAAGGATGTAGGCACGCAGTGCTTCTTTCAGTTGAACCGGAAATAGAAATCAACCCTTCAAAATAAAGGCACGTAAACCCTTTTTGCCGAAATTCACTATTAATCCAAAATGTATTTCTTTAAACGGAGGAATCAGGAACATTAGGCATAAAAACAAATAACAATATGTGAATAAAAGCATATAAAAAAAATATTAGTTATAACAAATATCTGGGTCCTTTACAGTAAACCCCACTCTTATTTTTTTTTTTTTATCTAATATGCTCTCTCTGGATCATGCAAAATAATACATTCAAGGGACAGAAAATAAATGTATTGTATTTACATGTGCACTGGAACTATAAGAGGAACTGACACTGAGCATTTAAAATATTAATATTAGAAGTTGTACATCTGGGCTGTAGTTACTCTGTGTAGCTAATTTCATGTATTTTATCTATGGCTGAAACAATTAATCATGTAAACAAATTATTTAAATAATCATGAACTAATTTAGTAATTGATTAATCGTAAACTGGAGTATAGGGCCACTAAAATGTGCCTTTAGCCGACAGAGCGACCCACTTAGACCAGGAATTATACCAAGGTTGTAAAAAAAAATATGTAAACATTTAGCATTTAAGAAGTAAAAAAAAAAAAATGTTTTTGTCTGTCAATATTCTCCTTCCAGAACTCCTCCAAAGGAAACGTTTAAACGTTTCTGTTTCACCTGGTTTCATTTCATAAAAGATCTTCTTTAAGGAGCCTTTGGCTATCTCATTAAAAGATAAAATAAAAGAAATCCTAACGTTGTTAACTTACATTTCTCAAGTTCCACAAATCAAAAAACTCTCTCCTGCTTCTTTACAGAACTCCAATCAGAAGCTTTCGCCTGTTTTAGCGTAGATAATATTTTTTTTAATTTGGACTAGTTTCGTAGCCCAATATTAATTTATTTTAGCGTCTTTTTTTTCGTGCTCCAAGCACCGCGCGCGCACATACAGACTAGAAAACACGCAATCAGAAAGAGAGAAGGCGGAACTTAAGGCAGAATAATCAGAGTTAAACCGTGCTGCACAGTTGAAGCACTGCTATATGAAAGGGACAGGAAAGAGCAGGCAGCTGCAGCTACCAGGCAGAGAAGCTGCTAGAGGAAAAGAAGCGGCTGCTGTATAGTAAATTATAAACATGTTGTTCACATCCAATTATTGGTAGGGACAAATGGGTCCGTCCAAAATTTTGGTAGGGACATGTCCCTATGGTCCCTATGCAAACCTACGCCCATGATTGCCATCATGGCTTTGTTAAGCTGCTGTCTACCTTTGTGAAGCAGGAAAAAAAAAAAAATACAAAGTGAATCCAGTAGAACTTTTTATTGCCTACCTGGAATGGGTGACAATAGTTGAAGAAACTTTTGGATCTCAAAATGGTATCAGTGCCCTATTTGGTGGTACACGCCGATTCCAATACCACCATTTTAGTGCTGGTGCTCTAGTGCTCTGGGCCCTGTCCAATACTGGTATCGGTGCAACACTAGTTGCATTAGAAGATAAGTGCTTTGTCACAGCTGTGTTACTGTTTTGAAATGACAGGTAAAAGTAAACCATCAATTTTATCCTTAATTATGAAAAAGTGACAGAAATGTGAAAAAAACTGTAATTAAAGGTAAATGTATCACTTACATTTATGATGTTAAAGGAATAGTACACCCAAAACATGATTAGCCTTTATTTTCTACTCACCCCCATGCTGAACAACACTCTGGAGTACTTTTTTGATATCTCAAATGCATCTGGAGATCTGGGAGGCTTCTTGCTGTCTGCTGACATTCAAATAATGGAGGTCTATTGTGCCCGAGACAGAAAGGTCCATAAAAGTCCACAAAAAACGTGTCAACATTCCTCCATACTGCTCGTCCAATGTATTCCAAGTGTCCTGAGTGGGTAGCGTCCATAATTTACTCGAAACGAAGTCATTTAGAATGTTTTTAGAGCATAAACAGTAGTGTATAGGATTTCCTAAAAGCGTGTTCACGAGTCTATGGAAACCGCGGCAGACCAAGCCAGATGAAAGTGCGCATTTAGCTCTGCAAAGAACTCATGCTCTTCCTCAACACTGAAGTCCTCAGACATTTTTCTTTCGTTGTTTCTTTCTTTGCACAGGTAAACAGCACATTTCTTCTTCTACGCTTGCATTATCGGCAGAGCAGACGCTGAATGCGCACTTTCATCTGGTTTGGTCTGCCGCGGTTTCCGTAGACTCGTGAAGGCGCTTTTAGGAAATCCTATACACTACTTTTTATGCTCTAAAAACATTCTAAATGACTTCGTTTCGAGTAAATTATGGACGCTACCCACTCAGGACACTTGGAATACATTGGACGAGCAGTATGGAGGAATATTGACACGTTTTTTGTGGACTTTTATGGACCTTTCTGCCTCGGGCGCCATAGACCTCCATTATTTGAATGTCAGCAGACAGCAAGAAGCCTCCCAGATCTCCAGATGCATTTGAGATATCAAAAAAGTACTCCAGAGTGTTGTTCAGCATGGGGGTGAGTAGAAAATGAAGGCTAATCATGTTTTGGGTGTACTATTCCTTTAAAGTGATGTTTGACTGAGTTTCATCATATTTTCTCCATCCCCTATACATCAACGGTGCCCTTGACATAAATTCCGTTTACTTCCTACCTTTACAATTTATTGTCTTTTTCATCACCTGTCACAAATGGTCACATTCTGTGTCATGTCTCCCCCGGCAGCTTATTTCCTCGCCTGCTGCGTGTCCTAATTATATGTCTCCTTTTCAATGTGCTCCTCATCCCGCTGCTTCCCTCTACCCCTACTGCTCCTACTCTAACCAACACAAACCTTTTCTCTTTGTCCTCCCACACAGTCTCAAGCCATGAGAATCGTGCGCACCGTGGGTCAGGCGTTTGACGTGTGTCACCAGCTGACCCTGCAGCAGAAAAGCGGGGATCAGGAGGATGATGAGGGGAAGGCGGAGGAGCTGGAGGCAGCACCAGGTTACTCATACCTACGCACACGCTCACAAATACAAAACACATCCTTTCGCTTTGCTCTCCTCTCGATTGTCAGGCATTCGTCATCTCAGTTTCACACAAGAACACAAAACCTCCCCAGGCTTTCTTTGACAAACAAAACTCCAGGATCCAACTGAAGCACTCATTTACTGCAGCCTGGGAAGAGATGTCAACAATCCCACTTTGATTTTTTTAAATTAAACATGCTTTATTAGTTTTAAATTGGGGAACTGGGGCTTGTGTGAACTTCTGTGGGTTCTGCGCAGCTATCACTGCCTGGAGATGAGGTGGACACTCAGCATGAAACTCTCTCCGATTCATGTCGTCTCTCTCGCAGCGAAGGAGAGGTCGCTGTTGTCAGAGGAGACAGACCTTGAAGCCACCACAGAGGAGAGCATTGAGTGCGTCTCTTCATCAGACCTGGAGAAGAACAAAAAGGAAGAGACCGTGGGTGCAGATGCGAAGGTAGGCTGCAACTCGTCAATGTTGCCCATCATCCGTCCAGCATTTCTCACACAAAGCCCAGCTATTTTCACACCCCATTAAAAATGAGTGTATAAGCCTTGATGAGGTATTTTATGGAGTCCCACAGCATTCTGAAAGATGTTTGTTTTTTTCTTTTGTTTGTTTTTTAACTAATTAAAATTTCTTCTTATCTCTTGAAGTCATTCTTCTCGCTTTATGTAAGCAAACTTCTTTAACTGTTAGGTATTTAGCCATATTTTTGCTACAAACCTCTGTGTGATCTATTAGGGTTATTTTTTAAAACAAACCAGCATATGAGGGGCTGCTTAGTAGCGCATCGGGTATAAGGGCGTGCAAAATAATCGTCATGACGATGCATCGCGATTCTAATTTTTGTGATCTACTGCATCGATTCTTGAAGGCAAGAATCAATTATATATATAAAAAAAAAAATGAACAAATAAAATACATTAATGGTTGGCGCACATCAGCCAAACCAATTGGAATACAACTTCCAGTCCAGCAGATGTCGCTGCGGATGTGTTGACGCCCGCTGCTTTGTGTCACAAGCATTTCCGGCCGCGGGATACTGAGACGAGTCATTCGTAAACAAAACATGGAGGACACTATGAAAATTCGCCGCGCGGCTCCATCACATTTCAAGTCAGATGCTTGGATGCATTTTGGCTTTAAAAACAAAGAAGGTAAAAATGAAATTGAAATGACGCACGTCATTTTCAAAAGGGGAAATATACATTTGAATGTTTTCGTTTCATTGGTTTAAAGGACCACTGAGGCCATGTAAACAGCACTGATTATCCTTATTTTGTTATTTTAAATTTTATGAATCCTAAGATCTTTTTGTCAGTGTGTCCACTCTAGTAATAGTAATATTTCTGTCCAGTATCTGTTTTCATGGCAACACCTCCAAAAGTAATTTCAATAAATACAGCTATGTATGAATTCAGTTGCTTTCATGTTATGTTTTAATTGAAGACACTAGCCAGATCATACCCAGCCAGTCAGCCACTGGTAAGGGCTGTATCTTTTTCTTACAGTGTTCAGTGAAAATATCGCAACGCATCGCAATATTTCAAGTATCATGATGCATCGTGGTAGAATCGCATCGTGGCATGTGAATCGTGATTTGAATCGATTAATGACTTCTTTGCCAATACCCACCCCTAATCGGGTAGCACTGCTGCCTTGCAGCAAGAAGGTCCTTGGTTCGATTCCCAGCTCAGGGAGTTTGCATGTTCTCCATGGGTACTCTGGCTTCCTCCCACAGTCCAAAACAGTGACTGCTAGGTTAATTGGCTTCCCTAAATTCTCCTTAGGTGTGTGTACCCCACCTCTCGCCTGTAGACAGCTGGAGATAGGCACCAGCACACCTCATGACCCCACCTGAGATAAGCGTGAAGGAAAATGAATAGATGGATGGACCAGCGTTAGGGGTGTGGGAAATAATCATTTTGGCGATATATCGTGATATTCGGCTGCCCAATATAATATCGATCTTTCACCTCTTAGTATCGATTTAAAAAAAAAAATTGGTTACATAAAACATTGATGGGAAAATGGGCTGCCTCTGCACCACCACTCTGGCAGAAAGCGCTGTGGAGCGCCTTAAACTGTGCGTGCAGCACCAAATATGTATATGAGGCAGTCACAGTGGAAGAAAACCCCAAACAACATGGATAATAATACCTAATCAATATTTTCTGATGAAAATATACAGCACTTGCTGTTTTATCTCATCATTTGATTTTGATAGCTGGGGAAAATATGGCAATATATAGTGATACTGCAATATTGCGATAATATCGTATCGTGACCCAAGTATCGCGACATGAATCGAATAGCAACACTCATGCCAATACTCACCTCTAACCAGCGTATGATAGTAAAATACAGGAAATGTTTAACGGATGCAATAATTCATTCGAAAATATTTGTGTTGATTCAAAATACAGCTAAATTAAATACATTTATAGGCAAACCTCCTCAAACACCCACAGTCACTAGTTGGCAGCGCAGCGCTCAAGGGCCTATTAGTCAGCTGCTCTGCACTTCCTATAGCAGAGCAACAAGATCCTGTGAGGCTTTCCAAAGGTATATTTTGAAAAGAATCGCAATTTATCTTCTTTGTTAATGCATCGGATTATATTGGGATTAGGGATGGGCGATATGGACTAAAAAATGTATCACGATAATTTCTAGGTTTTACCACGATAACAATAAGTGACGATAAAAAAACAAAACAAAAACACAATATCAGCCTAATGTATCAAACCAATCAAACAAGCCTGAAATATGAGAACAAATTTCACATTTATTTAAATGCTACACAGCAAATATAACTTGGCTTATAAAAGTTGCAAAGTAGTGCAACCGTAAATACAACCTGATAAATTGAGAAACAGAACTTAAAAGTATTTCACTGAAAATGAAAACTAATCAGTAATCACCTCCTGATATAAATAGATGTGTAAATTACCAGTTGCTGGAACATGCCATATATTGGATACATAAATACCAGTGCAAGTTCTAACATACATTACACTCACTTCACTAAAAATAAAATTCAAATGTTATATCAACCTGTAAACAACCTTTTTTGCTGTTGGGCTACAAAAATGTGCAAATGGCATGTTAATAAAGGGAGAAAAAAACCCAGAAAAATCTAAATATTAAAATAGAAATAAATAATTTCTATAAATTCCAACAAACATGTAAAACCTGAAATACTTCTTTGTGCAAGAATGTACAAATAAGACTAGCAGGATCGTCAGCATGCTAAACAATGAAAAAAACCTGAAATACCTCTCTGTTAACTCTTTCCATCGCTTGCTTTGGCTGTTATATGGTGTGGAATGAGCAAACGCGTCGGCAAGTTTTGTTTGAGTGACAGTCGGTTTCTTAACAGAGGTTTTCGAAGTCGAGGCTTCTGCTGCATCGCGGCGCATCTTCTGACTAGCATCATATTCCCGTTTGTGTTTTAGGTGGTGAAATAAATTGGTAGTGTTGCTGTCCTTTGTCGTCACAGGTTGTCTGCAAACTTTGCATATTACGACTTTCTGCTCTGTATCAGACTTTTTAAATCCAAACCAGTTCCAGATAACGGAGCTGGAGCCTCTTTTAGGAACCAGGTCTTGGGGCACGTCTCCTCCACCTTCCGCCATGCTTGTTGTTTGCGCATGGCTCGCACGTGAGTTGGACTGCAGGTGTGTCACGCGCAGTATACGTCACCGGCGGGAGTTTATCGTTTTTATCGCGAGATGACAAATTTTTACCATGAGGAATTTCTTTGACGATATATCGCACACGATAACATATCGCCCATCCCTAATTGGGATAAATTGTATCATTACACATTAGGGCTGGGCGATAATTCAATAACGATATATATCGATCGATAGACATGTGGCGCAATAGAAAAAAAGAGGGTCGATAAAAGTTCGATAAAAAAGAAACGCAGTTTTCCTTCCTTCTCATTGTAGCCTAGCATGTAGGTTTATGCTAGTCACTGCTTCCTCCCAACCAATCACAATCGCGGACCCTGGCACGCCGTCACCAAGCGCCGCCCTCTCAAACCACAACACAGAGCACATGAAGCTGTGCAGCAAGGAGAGGCGGAGGAAATTGTTTCAAGGAAGGGTTTTTGTAGTTCGACAGTCTGGCAGTATTTCGGTCATGGCAAGTCGGTCAAAAAACAAACCACAGTCATCTGTAAAATGTGTCGGGAACCAGTGAAAACCAAGTCTGATAACGCAACCAACTTTTTTTTTTTTTTTTTTTTATCATCTCAGCCGCTCACAGCCGCAGGAGTACGGGCTGTGTAGGCCCCAACGCGGCTCTCCTCCGAGGAAAATATATATATATTTTCAGTTCTGGGCAGTTTCCCACGTAGTTCTAACAATTGAGAGAAAAATGCTGAGGGGCCAGAAACTTCAAAGTAATAACTCAGGTTAAAGCAGGAAACGGGGGCGGCGGCGGCGGTGGGGGGGCATTTATTTATTTGTTATATTTATTTTGGTCACTTTTCTGGTCACTTTAGTTTATTCTTTGTCAGTATTTAATAACATAACTCAGGTCTCTTAAGTTATTTTTCTTTAAAACAATTCTGTTATGGTTAAAAAAGTTGGTTAAATAAAGATTTAATTCGAAGTCGGTGTTTGTGTTTTTTATTAAAATTAAATCATTTAGCAATATTATAAAATGTCCAGGCAGAACTGCACATAAAATATGGTTTCAAATCTTTTCAATAATTATCGATATCGATCAATATGCATTTTTTTTTATCGATAAGGATTTTTTTCTATATCGCCCAGCCCTATTACACATGTACAATGATACGTATCGCATCGCCAAGTTCTTGCCAATTCACATCCCACATACTGTATGAAATCCTGAAAAAAGCTGCCACAAAGTACTTAGACCATTTTAACCTGCCGTTCCTTATAAAATCCTATATAAAGGAAAAAGCTCAGCAAACTACCACTGCAAAAGTTCTTTCATTTAAACATTGTCCTTTCTTCTAACTGGATAGTTATTCATTGTTTTTTGTAACACACATAAAATTCCATTTGAAAATATTAAAGTATATTTATGTATAGATCTGATTCACCTGTGAACAAATAAGAAGTGGTTTGAGCTTGTTGCACGCCGCCGCTAGCCTGACGTAGTCCTACTCAATTTTAGTCAGAATATGAGTCTGATGCTGCTCCATAGAGCTGTGATTATGGGGCGTGTTTTGAACGAACCAGGAAAAAAAAATGCCTCTGCACTCAATTGGATAGACCTACAACCAATAAGAGCAACGGAGTGCGTGACGTATGTTAAGCGACGCATAGTTGTTGTCAACAAAAATCAAAGCGTGCAGTTGCAAGCCTAGAATAAGAAGATGAGACTCGATCGCGTTTCTCTGTTCCTCTTTTAAAATTAATTTGCTGTCGATATCTTCTAGAACAGACCTAATAGCAGAATCTACACACCTCAAC